GTGGGAGTCCAAGTCTCTTTGTACGTCTCTAAGGACTTGCTTTATGAATCTGGGTGCTTCTGTATTGGGTGCATATATATTTAGGATAGTTAGCTCTTCTTGTTGAATTGATCCCTTTACCATTATGTAATGGCCTTCTTTGTCTCTTTTGATCTTTGTTTTGGTTTAAAACAGAGACTGTTTTATCAGAGACTAGGATTGCAACCCCTGCTTTTTTGTGCTTTCCATTTGCTTGGTAGATCTTCCTCCATCCCTTTATTTTGAGCCTGTATGTGTCTGCACATCAGATGGGTTTCCTGAATACAGCACACTGATGGGTCTTGATTCTTTATCCAATTTGGCAGTCTGTGTCTTTTAATTGGGGTATTTAGCCCATTTACATTTAAGGTTAATATTTTTATGTGTGAATTTGATCCTGTCATCATGATGTTCGCTGGTTATTTTGCCTGTTAATTGATGCAGTTTCTTCATAGCATTGATGGTCTTCACAATTTGGCCTGTTTTTGCAGTGGCTGGTACCGGTTGTTTCTTTCCATGTTTAGTGCTTCCTTCAGGAGCTCTTGTAAGGCAGGCCTGGTGGTGATAAAATCTCTCAGCATTTCCTTGTCTGTAAAGGATTTTATTTCTCCTTCACTTATGAAGCTTAGTTTGGCTGGATATGAAATTCTGGGTTGAAAATTCTTTTCTTTAAGAATGTTGAATATTGGCCCCCACTCTCTTCTGGCTTGTAGTGTTTCTGCTGAGAGATCTGCTGTTAGTCTGATGGGTTTCCCTTGTTGGGTAACTCGACCTTTCTCTCTAGCTGCCCTTAACATTTTTTCCTTCATTTCAACCTTGGTGAATCTGACAATTATGTGTCTTGGGGTTGCTCTTCTCTTTGTGGTGTTCTCTGTATTTCCTGAATTTGAATGTTGGCCTGCCTTGCTAGGTTGGGGAAGTTCTCCTGGATAATATCCTGAAGAGTGTTTTCCAACTTGGTTCCATTCTGCCCATCACTTTCAGGTACACCAATCAAACGTAGATATGGTCTTTTCACATAGTCCCACATTTCTTGGAGGCTTTGTTTCTTTTTACTCTTTTTTCTCTAACCTTGTTTTCTCGCTTTATTTTGTTAATTTTATCTTCAGTCGCTGATACCGTTTCTTCCACTTGATCAAATCGGCTATTGAAGCTTGTGCATGCGTCGTGAAGTTCTTGTGCCATGGTTTTCAGCCCCATCAGGTCATTTAAGGTCTTCTCTACACTGTTTATTCTAGTTAGCCATTCATCTAACCTTTTTTCAAGGTTTTTATCTTCCTTGCGATGGGTTCAAACATGCTGCTTTTGCTCGGAGAAGTTTGTTATTACTGACCTTGTGAAGCCTAATTCTGTCAACTCATCAAAGTCATTCTCCATCCAGCTTTGTTCCATTGCTGGCAAGGAGCTGCGATCCTTTGGAGAAGAGGTGCTGTGACTTTTAGAATTTTCAGCTTTTCTGTTCTGGTTTCTCCCCATCTTTGTGGTTTTATCTACCTTTGGTCTTTGATGTTGGTGACCTACAGATGGGGCTTTGGTGTAGATGTCCTTTTTGTTGATGTTGATGCTATTCCTTTCTGTTTGTTAGTTTTCCTTCTAACAGATCCCTCAGCTGCAGGTCTGCTGGAGTTTGCTGGAGGTCCACTCCAGACTCTGTTTGCCTGGGTATCACCAGTGGAGGCTGCAGAACAGCAAATATTGCTGCCTAATCCTTCCTTTGGAAGCTTTGTCCCAGAGGGGCATATGATTGTGCCACTAGTTTGGAATCATTGATGTAGACCCATGTTGTCTAGTACTGTAGCCACTAGCCACTTTTGTTTAATTAAAATTCAGTTCTACAATCTCACTAGCCACATTTCTTTCTTTCTTTCTTTTTTTTTTTTTTTTTGAGATGGAGTCTCACTCTGTCACCAGGCTGAAGTGTGCAGTGGCACGATCTTGGCTCACTGCAAGCTCTGCCTCCTGGGTTCATGCCATTCTTCTGCCTCAGCCTCCCAAGTAGCTGGGACTACAGGCACCCACCACCACCACACCCGGCTAATTTTTTGTATTTTTAATATGGACGGGGTTTCACCGTGTTAGCCAGGATGGTCTCAATCTCCTAACCTCATGATCCTCCCGCCTCGGCCTCCCAAAGTGCTGGGATTACAGGCATGAGCCACCATGCCCGGCCCACACTAGCCACATTTCTAATGCACACTAGCTCCCATATTGGACAGCACAGGTGTAGAACATTTCCGTCCTCGCACAAAGTTCCATAGATTGGACAGCACAGAATCCTAGTGTATGTCTTACCTTTGCTGGATACCCTCAAGTATTTGCTAAGTGATTGCAGCTGTTCCCCTCCCGAGATAATGGGGTCTTTTTCTCCCAGGGTGAATTCAGTTCTTCCACTTCACCTGTCAGTTTTTTCTTGGCGGAAGTGAATGAAAAGCTACAGCCCTTCTTGCTTTTTTAGCTGTTTACAAAATCAAATAATTGGCAGCTGAAATCAAGCACGGAATATATATAAAGAAAGCTCTGTCTCATCTTCTGTGCAGCTGGGTAGTTGGTAACAGCATCCTCATGCAGTCGGTCTTTGAGTTCCCTTTCTGTCTGCTGACTTAGTGCCATGCTGCTTGCCCATTTGTGGCTTTCCATATAGAGGTGAGTGTGGGGATGCATGTTATCTCGCTTATACATATATGTACATATATTTCCTTATGTTTTGTTTTGTTTTGTTTTTGCTGCTGCTAAAATGTGCTGAAGAAAGTAAGAAGCCCTTCCCTTGGCAGACTCCAGCTCTGAAATCTAGTCCAGGAAGAATTCATGATATCATTGTTTACTTTGTTCAAATTTCAACTCCCTCCTTCTTCCCTTCACTTTGGAGAATTATTGCCAGTTCTTCTAGTTTTGCATAGCTTTTTTATCATTCCAGCTTGTCTTTATTATCCACTTTTTCTGTTTGGACCTTTTTCTCATCTTACCCCTAAAACAGGGGCAAACATTTTCTTTAAAGGGCCAGATAGTAAATATTGTTGGCTTTGTGGGGCGGCTGGTCTGTGTCACAGGTGCTTAACTCTGCCATTGAAGTGTGAGAGCAACCTTAGATGGTCGCAAAAGGATGGGCAAGGCTAGATTTGGCCTGCAGTCTATAGTCCCCCACCCCTCCACCCCTGCCCCAAATAGCATTTTAAATCCTACTTCATCACGCCAAGAGTCTCTGATCTGCCTTTTCTTCCCCAGTTATGACCTTCCAATTCTAGAGTTAAAAGTGCCAGCTGTGCCTTGATTTCCTTTATAAAATGTGTCATTCATTAGCAAGTACATATCAGATTTCTTCTGATTTCATTGTGTGTTCTGTGTGAATCAGCAGAAGGCCCAATGAGGCTTGATAAGTCTTGGCTTCTAACACACCTCAGATGTATGTTCCAGGAGACTGACTGTAACTTCCGGTTTACTTGATTTCCACTCCATGTTGAGAAGTTACTAGTCACCACATCCCAGTGTGCATACAGTCTTCCATGTTATTCTAGATAACATTAATTGAGCAGGTACTGTGAGTCAGACACTGTGCCAGGTGCTTTACATGCATTAGATTGTGTGATCCTCATAAGTGCACCATAAGGTGCTACAGTGTTATCACTATTTTACAGATGAGAAAACTGACATTAGGAAATTAAGGACTGCCTGTGGTCCCATTGCCAGTAAGTAGTAGAGCTAGACCTGAACCTAACTTTGTTTGACTCCAAAGTCCTTGTATTAAAAATATACACCATGGGGTTACCTTGGGGTAAATCCATCCATGCCCCCACCCATCCATCATTCATCTAGATTTCAATTATCTGTGCTAAAAGCCATGGAATCACTTATGTTTTTTTCCCCAGTTTCTCGTAGTTTTATTTCTTTTGCCAATCTGTTGAACTTTTTTGTTTTTGTTTTTTGTTTTTTTGGTTTTTTTTTGAGACAGGGTCTCATTTTGTCACTTAGGCTGGAGTGCAGTGGTGCGATCTCGGTTCACTGCAGCCTTGACCTCCCTGGGTTCAGGTGATCCTCCTGCGTCAGCCTCCTGAGTAGCTGGAACTACAGGCACATACCACCATGCCTGGCTAATTTTTGTATTTCATGTAGAGATGGGGTTTCACCATGTTGCCCAGGCTGGTCTTAAACTCCTGGGCTGAAGCAATCTGCCCACCTCAGCCCTCCAAAGTGCTGGGATTACAGGTGTGAGCCACTGCACCCTGCCCAATGTGTTAAACTTAGTTCCAAGATCTCTCAGTGCCTCAGAATGTCTTCCTTTATGGATTATTTCTTCCATCTTTTCTAGAATACAAAACTCTTCCTTTCTTATAAATTGGTGTATAAAGAGGCATATCATAGACCCTTAGATTTGCAAAGACTTAGATTTATAGCATGCATACTTCAAGTAGAAAGAAGACAAATACAGCACACGCAGTCTGTGGATCAGTGCTACAGTGTCTCTCCTTTCTAGGTAAGTGACATGAGGTAGAGTTGGTTTTAGTTTCCCCCGACGGATGCTTCCTGGAAATTTCTAAGGCAAGCTAATGACTTCATTGGTCTTCCCACTACTCTGTATTGTCCTTGACTTACCACCACCTTCTGTTAATCCTTCTAGGTGTTCGTGCTGCTAACTGGTCCAGTCCAAGTGAAGCCTGGCTTACTCGACCAGACACTCAGGGCCCCTTGAGCTAAATGAGCCATACTTTCAGATCATGAGACTGTTGTCTTAGTGATTTCATGTTAGAGGTCTTCCAGTTTCCTTATGAAAATACATTAGATTCTACAGGACATATCACAGATATATAATTTGTTTATTCCGGAAGCTACATATCTTCACTAGTATACTGGAAACTGTGCCAAGCTTAGTAGCATCTTCCTCTACAATGTCAGGTTTAAGTTAAAAAAGGAATTCTACACTTCCCAGTAGTCATTTTTTAATTTGAAGATTGACTACTAAAAATATGTACCATTTTTCACTTAATTAGGAGCCATATATTGAAGACCATGTCTGGGAGCTTCTACTTTGTAATTGTTGGCCACCATGATAATCCAGTTTTTGAAATGGAGTTTTTGCCAGCTGGGAAGGCAGAATCCAAAGTACGTAAGAATTTTTATGCTATTGTAATGATATGGTATAATATTATTTTAGAACTGTAAGATCTGGACAGATAAGGTAACTGAAATCCACCACAATTAAATGAGGCTTGCTGTAGAGTCCCACAGACTGATAGAAGCCAGCCAGGGAATGTCCTTGGAGTTGTTTATTCATCCTTTAATTCAGCACAGACTAGCATGACGCTCTGGCATTCCCATGATACTCAGTTCACTATGTCACCCACCATGAATTGCTGCTGCTTAAGCACATAAAAACATAGTTCACCTGTAGCAGATTGCTGCCTTGAAATGCCATGAAAGTCCAGGCTATTTTCATGAATCACGTCTTTCATCAGGACCTACTGAGTTAGAAAAGCCCCTTACTTCCCTGTCTTCCTGCTGCCAGTGGGCCTGCAGCACCTCACTTCAGGGGCATTCTGCAGCACTTCCTGGCTAGGTTGAGCCTGCATGCTCCCCTCCCCAGTGACACCTTGGCTGTACACAAGAAGCTCAAAAGCAGCACCAGAGGTGATAATATCTGACTTTCTTGTCAAGAATGGTTCCAAAAACCAAGCTTGGCTTGAGAACATATTGCCGTTCAGACCTGTAGATTTTTTTTTTTTTTTTTTGGAGACAAGGAAAATGGACCATATATTTTAAGAAAGATTACCATCCCAAATGCTTAAAATAAAACCATTTGGATCTTATTTATTTATTTATTTTTGAGACAGAGCCTTGCTCTGTCACCCAGACTGAAGTGCAGTGACACGATCTCAGCTCACTGCAACCTCCGCCTCCTGGGTTCAAGCAATTCTCCTGTCTCAGCCTCCCAAGTAGCTGGGATTACAGGTGTGCACCACCATGCCAGGCTAATTTTTGTATTTTTAGTAGAGATAGGGTTTCGCCATGTTGCCCAGGCTGGTCTTGAACTCCTGACCTCAGGTGGTCTGCCTGCCCTCGGCCTCCCAAAGTGCCGGGATTGCAGATGTGAGCCACCACACCTGGCCCAGACCTGTAGAGTTTTGACATGAGAAGAGCCCAGTTCTTTCCAATTTCTGTTTCTAATAAATTGCTGACAAGTTTGCTGTTTCTCCCAACCTCCAAAAATTGGCTTTAATGTCCTTTAAGGAACTGATGTTTTGAGTTAATTGTAATGCATAATATATGATATTTTTCAACTATTTGGGCCTTGCCACCAAAATAAGATAGGCATTTGTTTAAGGGATTCTCTACGAGGTGGTGTTGTGACATTATTTTCTCATATTATGAGAACACTACTCATTAAAACTTGTTTTGAGGTATCTCTGTACCAGTATTGCTCTGTGGGATGCAGCTACTTGTATGTAATTTCTGTGCACTCCACTGGCCTTGTGTTGGACAAAGCACACATAAAAATACTCTGTTGCATAACTTAATTTTAGTTCTTTCTCCTGCTACCACTCACTTTCTTAAAGCGTTTTCAGTTTGCTCCTAATTCTTCAAGATTGATCATCATTGTAAAAGAAAACACTGCTGTGAGCCAGACATAAAAACAGCCATTTCTCTAAGGATTCACTTAGCTTTGTCATGGCAACATGAGTGAAGTAAAACATGCTTTAACTACGCATGGGATTCCAGGGCAACAGGCCGCCCTCCTCCAGCCCAGGCATGAGAACAGCCTCCTTGGCAAGGAAGCCGTCTTGGTTTCCTGTGGCTGTTGTAACAAAGTACAAAAAACTGAGTGGCTTGGGACAGCAGAAATTTATTGTCTCAGTTCTGAGGGTCACCATGTGAAATCAAGGTGTCAGTGGGGCCATGCTTCCTATGAAGGCACTAAGACAAGGGTCTGTCCAGGCCCCTCTCCCAGCTTCTGGGAGTTCCTTGGCTTGTGGCAGCTTAACTCCAGCCTTCATGTGGCATTTTTTCTCCCTGTGTGCATCTCTAAATGTTCCCTTTTTCTGAATACACCAGTCCATTGGATTAGGGGCCCACCCTACTCCAATGTGACCTCATCTTAGCTAACCACATCTGCAGCAACCCTCTTTCCAAATAAGGCCACATTCTGAGGTACTGTTGCTTAGGACTTCAACAAAGGAATTTTGGAGAGGAAACACTTCAACCCATAACAGAGGTATTCTTTGGAAAATGGTTTGTTTGGGTTTTTTTGAGACTGAGTTTTGCTCTTGTCCCCTAGGCTGGAGCGCAATGGCGTGCTCTTGGCTCACTGCAGCCTCCACCTCCCGGGTTGCTTCAGCCTCCCGAGTAGCTGGGATTACAGGCATGCACCACCACAATTTTTGTATTAGTAGAGACGGGATTTCACCATACTGGCCAGGCTGGTCTTGAACTCCTGACCTCAGGTGATCCACCTGCCTTGGCCTCCGAAAGTACTAGGATTACAAGCATAAGCCACCGTACCTGGCCAAAAAATGTATTTTCAAAGAATTACATCAGGGTAAGACTGCATTCCAAGTTGTGAATTCCCTCTTCACATTATGGTCAGACAGTCCCACCTTCTGTTCACTTAAGCCATTTCAGCCCAGGAAAAGGACACTCCCAGCTCTGACAGGACTATGTCCTGCTGTTGACACAGGCGACTGCTCACAGCTGGGGCTGAGCATCACCTCCCACTACTTCCAGGTCCCGCTGCCATGTAAGCTCCATGCACTGGAAAGAGGCCTCTGGCAGGCCGTTATAAGCGCCATTTCAACTGTCTCTACTGCTTACCTGGTGCCATTGTGCAGGAATCTGGGCCCTCTCCGTTTCCTCCCAGACCTTGAGCCTGCTGTGAATGGCACCTCTTCTCCACAGGATCTTGTTTTTTGTTTTTTTTTTAAACATAGTATTCTTTTTTTTACATGTTTAAATGGTTACAGAATTTGGTAACTTCCTTCTTGAAGCATGAAAAAAAATTTCTATGAAAAAGATTTTGAATAAATGATTTTGTATAAATCATCTGTATACACATTTCATTTATTAATTGGCTGTTTCTGTTCTTTGAGATTTAGATATCAAATTTAAAAATAGAATATAATGTGAAAACAGATCTTTTGTAAGTCTCATGACAGTAACAAAGTATAAAAGCAAACTGTTTTTTTCCCCACAAGAAAACCATCTATAGCATTTACAGAATGAAATGTCAGCATTCTTGATGTCATATGGAAATGTTAATCTGTGGTTGCTCACACTGTCATCTAGGATGACCATCGTCATCTGAACCAGTTCATAGCTCATGCTGCTCTCGACCTCGTAGATGAGAACATGTGGCTGTCAAACAACATGTACTTGAAAACTGTGGACAAGTTCAACGAGTGGTTTGTGTCAGCATTTGTCACTGCGGGGCATATCCTTACCTTCTTAGTAAAGATAACTAAAGTTTGGGTTCACAAACCAGAAGAACATGGAACATAGATGCCAGGCTCTGAGTCTGTAGACATCACAGTCAGGTGAAAATGTAAGTTTCCATTTATGGGGCTACTTTTCTTTTTTTAGGGGGGAAAAACATTTTAATAGCTAATTTTAAAACTAAGTCTCATACACAAAAAAAAAGTTTATCTGGACCCTATCAAGGTTATTTTACTTTATTTTATAGTTATTTTCTAACTTTGAAAGCTTATGTTCTCTTTATGATAAAACTAAGCTAATTTTAAACCCAGTTTATATATTCAACTTTTCCATCACAAATACACTGCATGTGACTAATTTGAAGAATGTTGTATCAACGAACTGGTTTTTTGTTTTTCGTTTCTAAGAAAGATTGTGCCTTAATTATTTCACATATGAGGTTTATTATGCTTCATGACATAAGACAAGAAGATGGAATAAAGAACTTCTTTACTGATGTTTATGATTTATATATAAAGGTATGGTATGTTCTATAATTTTTAAAATCTGATGAGAAAGGATTCGACCTTTGTCAGGAAAGTGGCCTATCGAAGTAACTCCCTTAGGCTGCAGTGTACCTTTTAGACTAGCTTTCCCCCATCAGAACTATCTCTGGCAACTCTCTCTGCAGGTAAGTCTTCACAGGCAGGTGAATATGTATTTAGGAACACAACTCATGGTAGTTATCTTTAGATGACTGTGAAGGTAAATTGGTTTCATTCTTCACCTCTTGGTGCTCATAGCTGATTTTATTAGGGATCCCTAAAGACAGCAAGGAAGCAGCCTATATAAGGGAAAATTACTTCATAATTTAAAATGTTTCCATCTACTTTACAAATAAGTTACAGTGCAATTAATACAGATCATAAACTGGCAGGAAGTGATTTTTATATGATCAAATAGCCACTCAAGAAGAATGGTGCCACTTGCATTTCTTGATTTTGAAAAATAAAATAATAATACAGCGTCATGGTTACACTGCAGTGGTAACAGTGTGTTGTTTTGTTTTGTTTTGGAGACAGAGTCTTGCTTTGTCACCCAGGCTGGAATGCAGTGGCATGATCTCAGCTCACTGCAACCTCTGCCTCCCTGGTTCAAGCGATTCTCCTGCCTCAGCCTCCCAAGTAGCTGAGACTACAGGTGTGTGCCACCACACCCAGCTAATTTTTCTGTTTTTAGTAGAGACGAGGTTTTGCCATGTTGGCCAAGCTGGTCTCGAACTCCTGACCTCAAGTGATCCACCCGCCTTGGCCTCCCAAAGTGCTGGGATTACAAGCGTGAGCCACCATCCCTGGCCCGTATGTTTTTAATAATTTCAATAAGTTCTGTATTTGGACAGAATTTCTTGCATATCAGCACAGTAATACAATTTAACAGTATGCCTAGTCAGAGGTAGTAATATTTAGCCCTCTTATAAAGATGAACAATGTCAAGTGATTAAGGTATAAAAATCAGCAATGCCTTTCCTATTAGTGATTCCATTTAATGATTTTCTCTCGTGTTATGATACACTAATTACTTTGAGAAGCTGATCATTTAGCAGTCTTGTGTTAAAGGAGAGTATTAAAAATCTGATTGTTAAAAGATTACCATATAAGAGTAGCTTTTTCTGAACTCTGAGCACATGGCAGACTTTGTTTTATGTAGCCAAAGGGCCATAAGATTAATCCATTTATTTATAATGAATATGAGTATTTCACACACAGGGTAAATCCTGAAAGTTAACTGACATAGGCAACATTTATCATACTGCCATTAGTTTTATCCCAGATATTTCTCAAAACCAAAACACCAAAATAAAAATTTCCTTAAGAGGATGTTAGTATTTAACAATGCAGCATTTTCAGTAAAACTTAAAAATGTGGTCTTTAGACTTTTGAATGTCTTTGGTTTTTAATTTAAAACTTTAAAATGATTTCCTTTCAGAGACTTATGATTTGTCAGCTTTTTTGCTTCACTAATACTTTCTTCTTTCCTAGTTTTCAATGAATCCATTTTATGAACCCAATTCTCCTATTCGATCAAGTGCATTTGACAGAAAAGTTCAGTTTCTTGGGAAGAAACACCTTTTAAGCTGAATGCAGAAAATTCCAAAATAAATGATGTCACCACAATGGTGTATACTCAGGAATGTGTACATTGTAAGTTACTTGATTAAATAGCCTGGAAAACTTGTGTATTCTCAGCTTATCTAAACCTAATGAAATTCCTTTTATATTTAAAAATAGTACATTCTGTCTCATGTCACATATCAATAGATCAATTGGTATTTCCTTGTGAACAGTGTTATTTATGAAGAGCTCATTATCAATAATCATGATTTTTTTTTTTTTTTTTTTTTGAGACAGAGTCTTGCTCTGCTTGGCTCACTGCAACCTCCGCCTCCCAGGTTCAGGCGATTCTCCTGCCTCAGCCTCTGACTAGCTGGGACTACAGGTGCGCGCCACCACACCCAGCTAATTTTTGTATTTTTAGTAGACATGGGGTTTCACCATATTGGTCAGGCTGGTCCTGAACTCCTGACCTCGTGATCCACCCGTCTCGGCAAGTGCTGGGATTACAGGCGTGAGCTACCACGCCTGGCCATGAAATAAGCTTTTTGTTTTTTTGTTTTTGTTTGTTTGTTTGTTTTTATGAGATGGAGTCTCGCTCTTGTCGTGCAGGCTGGAGTGCAGTGGCACAATCTTGGCTCACTGCAACCTCCACCTCCCGGGTTCAACCAATTCTCCTTCTTCAGCCTCCCAAATAGCTGGGATTACAGGCGTGCACCACCACGCCTGGCTAATTTTTGTGTTTTTAGTAGAGACGGGGTTTCGCCATTTTGGCCAGGCTGGTTTCGAACTCCTGACCTCAGTTGATCCACCCGCCTCGGCCTCCCAAAGTGCTAGGATTACAGACATGAGCCACCGTGCCCGGCCAGGAATAAGCTTTTGACTTGCCCGATTCAGATAGGTTGATCTTTTGTGTTTTTTTTTGAGATGGAGTTTCGCTCTGTCGTCCAGGTTGGAGTGCAGTGGCAGTTGTTTCACTGTAACCTCTGCCTCCTGACTTCAAGCAATTCTCCTGCCTCAGCCTCCCAAAGTGCTGGGATTACAGGTGTGAGCCACCGTGCCTGGCCCAGATAGGTTGATCTTAATGTAACAACCCAAAAATAAATGTCATAGTCAAGATTTGGTAGATAAATTTAAAATTAAAATATTCTGCAGTTGAGAGTGAAATGTGATAGCACATACATTGATGTTATGCATTTAAAGATGTTATAAAAATGTATAGGCAGTATACACAGCACTACTCAAGAAGCCAAAGAAACACTTGTGCAGTGCTAAGTGTCACATGTCTGCTTCTGCCAGAGGCTGGGAATAGTGATCCTGCTATAATGTGAGAACCCGAATCATGTTTATAAAATAGGAGGCTGGGAGCAGTTGCAGGCCACAGTGAAGTGTGTTGCTTCTGTCACTTTATATTCTTATATTTCCTTTCCCTCGGACAGTAAACTGTTGATACTCGTAAAAAGTTGTAATGCAATTTTTAGTACTGTTGTCAAAGAAAAGTTTGGAATCCATTAACATTTGTACTCAGCCTTTTAGGTTATACACCAGAGGGGGCTGGGAATTTTCTCTTTGTTCCTATAAGTAGATCTTACTGTAAAATAGTAAATGTCCATTGGAAAGCAAGTAATACAACCTGTGCTAATTCGGAGCACTTGAACAATTTTGTTCCATTCTGAGTAACTTTTGAGCAAGTAATTCTAAGCTTTGTCTTGTATCCTTGTGTGAAATGGCATCATTTTTACCCTATTTGATTTCTTAAATAAAGATGTTTTTTCAAGATTGTGGTAGTTTAATATCCATTTTTAAAGTGCTGCTTTCGTCCTCTCTCCCCTATTGATAGCGTGCAAACTAATATGATGTCTTCACCTGTTACAGAGCTCAGATCGACTCAAACTAGATGCCAGAGCTTTGGGAGCAGAAAAATTTACATACTCATCTAGAAATCTAGAAGTAATTTCAGCAAATGAGTATTTTTTTCTATATAGTTGGCCCCACCCTCAATGAGCACATCATCCAGAGGGCTGTGATGCAGGCCAACCAAGAGCAGCAGGGTGATTGAGAGCGGGAAGACTTGGCTCAGCTGCCCAACAGTGGTACCCTTTTCTCCAGGCTGGTGAAGGTGAGGTAAGAACTAGTAACACACTTGTGAGTATATTACTAAAGTTAAATGCCAAATTTCATGTGTGAGTGAGTCTTTAAAGGAGCTGGAAGGGAAGTGGAGCATTGAGTGGGACCTCCAAGGTAGGCTGCACAGGAAAGCATTGCAGGCATGAAGGTGTGAAGAGCACTTGGGCACGTGGGTAGAATTGACAGCTGATAGATAGATGCTGATCATGAGGAAAGCTAAGCTGGCAAAGCTTGAATCTGGTAAGTGATGTCCCTTGAAGGTTCTGGAACACAAGAGCAATGGGATGAAGTCCGTCTTAAAATCAGGCTCTCCTGAGCCCATGTATGTTAGCACAAAGTTGGTTATCTGCTTAAGTGCTCCAAAAGTGATCTAGATAAAATGTATACCGAGTTTTGTCCTCTTGCTATAACCGGAAACTTCCTAGGATGCTTCCTCTGGCATGGACATAGATCGTCTCAATCTCTGCTTTGCCCATGCTGTTACCCATGCTCTTTAATTTTTCAGTCACTTCAACACTTCCTGGTTGACAGTCCAGAGTTTCAGAAACCACTGACTCTCCAGACACCACCTTTCACTGGGTACCACACTGGCGTGTTTTTCTACTTAACACTTTACTACTCTACAAGACACGGATAATGTGTGAGAACTTACATGGTGGTGTCATAATATTAAAACGAAAAGTTTGTACAGAAATATAAAAAGGTTTTCTTCCAAGACAAGTAATAGTAGGAATGTTTTAACTTCAACTAGGAAACTTTCCCCAAGGGTGAAAAATAACAAAAACATTTAGTCCATTAATGAATTGTAATTTTGTATCTTCCAATCAGCACATTGTAATTGTTAACATCAGTTATCAAATGCACGTTTGTCTGTTCTCCAAGTTCAGTAGTTTGCTTTTTTTTTTTTTTTTTTTGAGCTGGAGTGTCACTGTCACCAGGCCAGAGTGCAGTGGTGCAATCTCGGCTCAATGCAACTTCCGCCTTCCGGGTTCAAGCGATTCTCCTGCCTCAGCCTTCCGAGTAGCTGGGATTACAGGCACGATGCCCAACTAATTTTTGTATTTTTAGTAGAGAGAGGGTTTCACCATGTTGTCCAGGATGGTGTCGACCTCTTGACCTCATGATCCGCCTGCCTCAGCCTCCCAAAGTGTTGGAATTACAGGCGTGAGCCACCATGCCCGGCCTTGCCTTTTTTCTTAAAACTGAACTGTATTTCTGGCGGGGGGCACTGGTTCACTCCCTACATGACAGCCAGCTCCCCTCACCCAGCATGTCCTTTGATAACCCCATCACTCCCCAGTCCAGGGTCTCATCCACACTCAGTCTAGGCTTTGGTTAGCCTCCATGGAATCAGGTAGTCACCAACCACGCAGCATGTGAACTTCATCCACAAAAGACCACAATTTGCTTTATCAAGTCTGATCATTGCAACAAGTCTTTTTGTAACAAAAAATCTCCTTGAGAGCAAATCACTAAATGTTCAGTGATGGAGAAGACACCAAGTAAATACATTGCCGAATAAAGATGTCATTTACCCTCTCACAAAGTACAATCCTTAGTATTTCTTCTGAGAGTGATAAAGTTAGCTTGTGTCTTGTGTTATAAAGGAATGTTTTAACTTCAACTAAGAGACTTTCCCCAAGGGTGAAGAAAGTAACAAAAATATTTAGTCCATTAATCGAATTGTAATTTTGTATCTTCCACACAGTACATTGTAATTATTACATCAGTTATCAAATGCACATTTGTCTGTTCTCCAAGTTCAGTAGTTAGCCTTTTTCTTAAAACTGAACTCTATCTATGGCAAGGTTTTCCATTCATAGACAGCTTGAATTTAGCTGGATGTATTATAGACTGTATGAAGCAACTCTTGTACCACTGAGGGCCTGCCCTCTGCCTGAGACTGTGGAATGTGATCTATGGGGCTGGGGGTGCATGAATGACATACAAATGATGAGTAGTTACTAGTGAGAGTAATTCTACTATGTAGAATGAAAACAGGAATGGTTAAGTCATTTTGAAGAGAATGAATTAACGATGCATTGCAAATACATTAGATTTTCATCTTTAATATCTAACATTATTGCTTTAGGAAATTATTTCCCTGAACCAAGAATACAATGCTAATTGCATAAAAACATACACATATAAAAAGTAGTTCTCCATTTTCCCAGGAAAAAATCCAAGTATAACTTCTAGAATAGTTAAGTTTCTTATTTTAATTATAATTAATGTCTTGGTCATCTCATTTATTAGCTCTGCAACTTACATATTTAAAGAAACGTTATTAGACAACCGTTACAATTTATAAATGTAAGGTGCCATTATTGAGTAAATATATTCCTCCATGATTGGATGTGTCCCTTCTCCCACCAACGAACGAAGCAGCAACATACATTAGTTTAATTTTATTAGTAGATGATACACTGCTGCAAATGCTAATTCTCTTCTCCATCCCCATGTTGATTTTGTGTATATGTGTGAGTTGGTTAGAATGCACCAACAATCTAACAATCAACAGCAAGATGAGCTAGGCTTGGGCTTTCGGTGAAGATTGACTGTGTCTGTCTGAATCAAGTGATCTGACCTATCCTCGGTAGCAAGAACTCTTCGAACGGCTTCCTCAAAGGCTGCTGCCACATTTGTGGCATCTTTTGCACTCGTTTCAAAGTAAGGATAGTCGCCGTTATCCCTGCACCAAGCTTGGGCTTCTTCTGTAGACACCTGCCGTTCGCTTATGTCAATCTTGTTACCCAGAATCACAAAAGGAAAGCTGTCAGGCTCTTTCACATCTGCATAATATATGAATTCTTTCTTCCAGTTACTTAAGTTCTGGAAGCTTTGTGAATCATCGACACTAAAAGTAAGCAGGCAGCAGTCAGAACCTCTGTAAAATGGCGTCCTCAGGCTTCGGAATCGCTCCTGACCTGCCGTGTCCCAAATCTGCATGGTAACAAAATGTCCATCCACTTCCAAATCTTTATTTAAAAATTCCACACCTATTGTATGGAAGAGCTGGGTATCAAACTTATTAGTTACATATCTGTTCATAAGTGAACTCTTACCAACTCCACCATCTCCAAGGAGAATTACTTTAAAAAGTGATGATTTTCCTGCCATTGTTAATCTCAAGACCTTCAAGAACCCTGTAAAATAAAAAGGCACCATTACATTCCTTTATACCTACACATTCTTCTACATGATTCTGTGAATATCAGCATTTAACTGAAATAAAACATACAGCCCCAGGGAATACCTAATAATAAGACTTCTTGTTTACTGAGCACTTAGCCATGTGCGGCTATTAGTCTACCATTATTCTCTGAAACAGCTGGGAAGGGCTCACTCTTCCCCTTTCTCTGGTCACAGTTGACTGTGAAGCTGGCACTCAAGCTCAAGTGTGACCCCAAAGCCCTTGCTCTGAACCTTTACTCTATGATAAGCCCCTCTCTGTTCATAGTAAGCCCCACCACCATTTGTTAGAGATGGGTAGGGGATCAAAGTTCGCATGGTTTTTTGTTTTGTTTTGTTTTGTTTTTTGAGACAGGATCTCGCTGTCACTCAGGCTGGAGTGCAGTGGGACCATCTTGGCTTACTGCAGCCTTGAACTCCCAGGCTCAAGCAATCCTCCAGCCTCAGCCTCCCAAGTAGCTGGAACCACAGGTGCACACCACCATGCCTTGCTCATTTTTCTATTTTTTGTAGAGACAGGGTCTCAACCATGTTACCCAGGCTGGCTTCAAACTCCTCCACCCAAGCAATCCACCTGTCTTGGCCTCCCAAAGTGCTGGGACTACAGGCGTGAGCCACCGTGCCCGGCCCATGTGTTTCTCTTAACAACTTCAAACAGCCCTTCAGTGCACAGTTGTGGTGTTCACTGATGGCCTCTCTCGTACCAGGGACTTTCTCTACTACTTCCTACGACCCCTTCCCTTTCTCTCTTCAGACACAGGTGCTGTTAACCAGGAAAGCCAGAGACAGAAGCTGACTTATCCTGCTGTGAAATAAAATATAAAGCAACCACTGAGTAAATGTACTTTATTCTCTTCATTAAGAACACTATTTTTAATTTGTTCAAATTAATGTCAGCAGCAATGGAATTTTTACTTTAATATAATCTAGTACATTCTACCCACAAGATTCACTTGGGCAGTTCAAACACTTAAGGAACATGAGACTGTGCTGGTACTTGTGTGTTTTGAGGAGGAATGAAATAAATCTTAAATGAAAATGTGGTACTATATATGTTCTTTAGAAGTCCTGTGGCAGGATTAAAAACTTGACTACACTACAAGAGCCAGCCTGTGGGGGGTGAGATTTCAGATGCCTGTTGACAGACAGCTACTTCTAGGTGCTGGTGGGAGCACAGTTCCTGATTAATCCTTCTGTTTACATTTTTATTGTGGAAAATTTAAAACATATACAAAATGTCTATATAATGAGTATAATACAATGAGCTCCCATGAACTCTAAACCCAGCTTCACCAATTATCAACTTACGGCAAATCTTGTTTCCTCCATAACCCCTCCAACTCTCCCTTCTCCCCAGTTATTTCAAATCAGATTATATCATTTAATCTGTACTTTAGTATTAAATGGTTTTTAAGTATACTAAAATGTATATAAGAAAATACTAGAGAAGCACTGTACAACAGAATTTGATGCAACAATGGAAATGTCCAATATAGCAGCCACTTAGCCGCATGTGACTGTTGAACAACTGACATGTGGTTGATGGAAGTGAAAGACCGCATTTTAAATTGTATTCGATTTTAACTAAATAGCCACATTTAATGAGCCAATTGCTGTACTGGAGAGCACAGATCTAGAACAAATTTGGTCAATAACCTTAATAGGAAAGTAGGTATTATGAATCCCTCAATGGGAAGGCAATAAAGACATGAATAATAATTGTTATATTGACCAGGATGAATTTGTAAAATCACTGCAGAAAACATTATCTGGCTGTCTCCTGGTTATATGCAATGTGAGCAACTATAGTATAACTGAACACTTCTGTAACATGTAGGAATTCTGCATTTCTAACTACACGCTCCACTGTTCTGATAAAAACCTTGTAGCAGCTTGTATAATGAGAAATTAAATGAATGGGAAAATATTATTAAAAAATGATGGGACATACCTTAGTCCCTACCTCTTACTGGTTCTTTCAAATTACTACTACAGGCCAGGCAGAGTGGCTCACACCTGTAATCCCAGCACTTTGGGAGGCCGAGGCGGGCAGGTCACTTGAGGTCAGGAGTTTGAGACCAGCCTGGCCAACATCGTGAAACCCTGTCTCTACTAAAAATACAAAAAAAAAAAAAAAATTAGCAGGACGTGGTGGCGAGTACCTGTAGTCCCAGGTACTTGGGAGGCTGAGGCAGGATAATCCCTTGAACCTGGGTGGCAGAGGTTGCCGTGAGCTGAGATCGCACTACTGCACTCCAGCCTAGGTGACAAAGCAAGACTCCATCTCAAAAAAACAAAACAAATTAATACTACAGTAATTACTATAATATTTATACAATTTAAACTGTCCAACACAAGTGTGTGGCAGTTAAGGTGCACACCTTTTGAGAGACTTTTTCAATTTCAAATGTATTGCTCTACTCAATATCCAGACTAAATTAACGTTAAAGAGGAAACTGAAACAGTCCCAAGCCCCTTACTTTCCTGACATAGGTAACAATGTGCTAAACTGGCTGCTTTAATTCTTTGGCATCTTTGCTTCAACAACTTCAACTTAAAGAGAAAAGACTGAAAACCATAAAAGCAAACCAAGTATTTTGACATAGGGGAACCGTCTATCTAATGTCTCCTCAGAATTCTTCAGTGGGTTGTTTCCCAGAGAAGGCAAGACACCTGGCTCCTGCTCTTGGCCAGCCTCACTCTAGCCACCTCCCCTCTCACAGCCTCTGCTTCAGTCATTCTGAGTGCAACAGCACACGGAACTGAAATTCAATTCCACTCGCTCAGCACACCCTACACTCTCTTGCCTCCTCCCTGGCATATGCTGCTCCTTGCTGGTGACCGCCCAACGAACCACTGTCCCTTTAGAACTGCTCAGCATGGTCATCGCCTCCACTGGGAACCCTGCCCCAGCAACTCTCTCAATGTTTTTCCTTTCACACAATTTCCATGTTGTGTTATGAGAGTACAACAGACATCATTTATTCCAATATTTTAGTAAGTCTCTACTGATCTAACTGCCTTATCAGACACAAAGTTTTACCGTACATCACTGAATTTTTAGCATCTTTATATCAAATTACAAACCAGATCATGCAATCTAACAAACCCCACCCAGACTACTGGTTGCATATATCTAGTAAATTAAGTTTTAGAAATTCCTTGAAAGTGGTAATTTATAATTTTATCAAGACACTTTGATAGTTCTTTTCTTTTTTCATAATAATGTAGGACTTCCTAGTTTGTCTCATTCTGACCAAATGAATTTGGGGTATGCCAACCCCACCAGGAAACAGAGTATAGGGTACAATTTTTTACATTTTCCATCTACAGTTTGAGGCCTACCATATATTCCCATTTGGGAATATATTTGCATTTGCCAAAATAATTTCTACATGAATATCTCTCTAACTGTAGAGTTGTATAAAAACACACATGGTGATATAAATAATTGTACACACCATCTTATTTACCAATGACATCTAACAAAAGCCAGTTTCATTCGATCTACCCATAATATAATCACAATCAGCTTACAGACATTAAAAATATTATTTTTTTCTTTAAAAACAGTAAAATCCTTTGAAATTTCTTTAGTATAAGTTAAATAAAGGGATCCTACTACGTTATTTTCAAAATTTGCCTAAAAAGGTAATGTGAAGTCTCTTATACTTCACAGTTTAAAATGACTGTCCAAAGACAATTTTCGCCAAGGTTAAAACATTAGTAATTCTGCTAAATTCTATGAAGAAATCTGAATAAGGGGCCAGGAGCAGTGGCTCATGCCTGTAATCCCAGCACTTTGGGAGGCTGAGGCGGGCAGATCACTTGATGTCAGGAGTTCGAGACCAGCCTGGCCAACATGGTGAGACTTCATCTCTACTAAAAATACAAAAATTAGCCAGGTGTGGTAGCGCATGCCTGGAATCCCAGCTACTCAGAAGGCTGAGGCATGAGAATTGCTTGAACCCGAGAGGCGGAGGTTGCAGCGAGCCGAGATTGCGCCACTGCACTCTAGCCTGGGTGACACAGCTAGACTCTATCTTAAAAAGAAAAAAAAAGAAATCTATATAAGAAAAGCATATTACATAGGTCATAAATTTTACCTGAATTTAATTGTTCAAGCATCATTATCTACAAAGAAAAAAATTAGAAAACTCACCTTAACAGTGTATGTTTTCATAATTTTGAGAGTAAAATGAAGAATTAAAATGTTAAAGTACAGTATCTGACTTCTATTAGCAGCCAGATTCTTAACTTAAAAGAAAAACCTGAATACTTTCCATAACCTTTCTCAGTCCAAAAAAGTCCTACAATCAAATATTCTACTTTAATCATTACGTTTTTCAAGAAGTTTTTCATCTATCCATCTTGTTTTCTAAGTTTCACATTCAGAGACAGATATGAAATTATATCAAGAGGAAATGTACAATATTTCATTCATTCTTTAAAACCTGCCGAAATTTTGGGTGGCTGAGAATGAGTCATATTCCAGAGAATAAAATGAAGATAACACAAAAGGGAAGACAAAAGGGCCATGTGAGGGAGGGGCACCAACATGATACAGGAAAGGTCAGGCTAAGGCTCAAGGGAGCCCAGCTTCCAGGCAGCCAAGGCAAAAATGAAAACGCTCTTGTTTCTGTGCAAATCAAAGCACACTCAGAAAAGAGAACTTGTTCCTGGCACCAAATGCCATGAGCACAGCCCCATGGGCGAACTATTTAACATCCTGAATCCTCATGGGAACAACAGTGACAGCAGTACCTACCTCCTAGGGTTGTTGAGAAGATGCACTCAAACAACAGAGGAAAAGTGTTTCATCACAGTGCCAGGCTCATTACAGGAGTGCAAGAGTGTCTGTGAAATGAATACATGAATAAGTCTTCACTGGCAGTTTTACAGACAGGTTCTTTTTATGGTCATGTCTTACATCAACCTTCAGTAATGGCAACAGGCAGAACAAATTAGAGGACGATATAGGCCTACACTAGGAAGCTGAAGGATCCTAGTCCTAGAGTCCAAATTCAATGTCAAGGTCTCCCAGTGATCACTATGTGTAACTGTGCTAAAGTACTAGCCTCTATTGGTCTGAACCAAAGGTTTCAACCACCCTCCCCACCCACCACTTTTTAAAGCAAAGGGCATTTTTGTGGGACTTACATATAGCAGTCCTTAATTTATAAAATACAATTAATAATAAAATGAGACGCTTCAAAATCCTGACATTTGGGGTTGAAGATGCAACAACAATAGCAGCTAGCATTAAGCCCGGTATGTTATGCAAGCTACAACACTGTGTTTATTCCTCACAAGTCTCTTAGTATCTATTACACATGAGGATACTGACTCAGAGAGGTTACATGCATGGTCAAGGTCACACACCTAGTGAAAGGCGGGGGTAAGATATGAACACGGCCAACTGACTCTAAAGCCCAGGCACTTAACCCACTAGGCTACGTCAATCCCAACTGCCTATGCATCTGTTTCTGAGGTTCTACTGTTGTTGCTGCAGGTAGAATGAAAATAAGCAATTGCAAATGGTAAGAATCTTTCAACCACTTGCTTTATTTCAAAATCTGCTCAAGAACAAGATTAACCCGACAGAACCAGTAATCTCCAATCTTACTGACATGTAGCATAAAGCACATGTGTCTATGCTTTATTAGAGTTTAAGTAGTTTAAAACATGTTTTACATGAAATGAGTCAAATTTTGCAGAAGCTTACCATTTGGTAGAACGACTGGGAAAGTAATTTTTCAGTAAGTATTTAGTGAGTGCCTGCTATGAGCCAGACCCTGAAGATACAAGCCACACATACAGTCCCAAGTTTGTGGAGCTTATAGTTGGGCGAAGGTGACATCCACATACAAATGCATTTAAGTCACAACTGTACCTCATAAAATGAGAGGTATATAGTATAAAGTACAACCATTCACACTCAGCCAAAAATCAAAGAACAACTTAAAATAGTGCAAGGGATTCTGCCCACCATCTCCCTCAGTGAGTGAGATGCACAATGTGTAAACCTGGGCCTCTCTCAATCAGACTCAGATTCCCCATGCCACTATCTTACGGAGCTGCCTGAGTCCATGAGAGTTCAGCCACCTGGGGGACTTAATTTACATGCAAACATGATCCTGTAACACAAGCCAACTATTTCACTTGCTAAGCTGCAGTTAAGGAAAAAGAGGTAACTTCCAACATCGGAGGGAAACTAGGCTGTGTTAATGAGAGACTGTACATCGGTTTCTAGTGTGATGCTTCCAAAGCAATGTCTCCATGATCATTTTAGCCATGTGCTGCCATGAGAACACAGCCCTCGCGAAAGTCTGATTCTGCTGGAGGGGATCTGACCCAGGGGAAGTAGGTGTGATCACAGATTAAGCTCAGCAAGAGCAAGAAAAAACTATGAGAAAAGAGGAGGGAGCAGGAACCAGAAAGTGGGACCAATCCATGCCAAAGAAGCCTGGCTCTGGCATGAACTGGGAGAATTCAAGGTAGGCCCGAGCACCTGGAGGCTGGAGAGTGAAGAGTATGCTACAAAGACGGGACTGAAGGAAGAGGCCCAGGAGCAGGGAGGGGAGTAGAAGCCACGGGAAGGATTTCTGCCTGTACTCTAGGAATGATGGGGAGTCTCTGAAATAGCTTCAGCAGTGGGTGACCTGGTCAGATAAGGAGTCCAGAAAGCTAACTGGATGCAGTGGGAGAAGGGCTGTGGGTGAGGTGGGGAGGAAGGCCCTGGACAAGCTGGGATGGATGCCGCTACGATCCCTCTCCACTACTAACAGTGTCAGCTAGGCTTACGACTGAAAATTGAGGTGGCTGTACCTCACACTTGATCCTCCAGTAAGATATTTACTATATGACTTCATGCTTTACCTTGTTCACGTTCAAATCCCTGGCCCTTTACCTGTCTAACTCCTAGTCACCTGTGCGGATGTAGCTAGACCTCATCTCCCGAACACCTACTGGACATCTCCAACTGAACTCCCTTCCTCGACACTCCTAACCACCCTGTGTGTGCCTCCACCATTTACCACAAGGAATTCTGTAACTGACATGTCTACTATGTCTAGTAAAAATGAAACATGCTCTCTTTAAAAACTCACATTATATGGATATGTACTATACAATTACAGAAATGTCCATACATTTTTGAGTTGTCAATGTTTTAGATTGCACCAAAAAAGTGCATACCCATACTATTATCAAACCACCTTCCCCTAAAAAGAAAGAAAATGTCCATCAATTGATGAATGGATAAATAAAATGCAGCATACATCCATGCAATGCTGTAATGTAGACAAACCTCAAAAACATTATGCTAAGTGAAGGAAGTCAGAACAAAAGCCTACCTACTATATGATTCCATTTATATAAAATGTTCAGAATAGGCAGATATGGAGACAGTAGATTCATTGCTGCCAAGGGATGGGGCGGGGGGCGGTGGCAGGTAAAGGAGGAGTGACTGCTAATTGGTATGCGGTTTTTTTTGGAGGGAGGTAATAAAAACATTCTGGAATTAGATAGTAATGATGGTTGTACAACTCTGTGAATATACTATAAACACCAGTGAATTGTATACTTTAAAAGGGTGAATTCGGCCAGGTGCCGTGGCTCACACCTGTAAACCCAACACTACGGGAGGCCAAGGCAGGCAGACCACTTGAACTCAGGCGTTTGAGACCAGCCTGGGATACATGGTGAAACTTCATCTCTACAAAAAATACAAAAATTAGCTAGACGTGGTGGCGCATGCCTGTAGTCCCAGCTACTCGGAAGGCTGAGGTAGGAAGATCACCTGAGCTTGGGAGAGGTCAAGGCTGCAGTGAGCTGTGATCACACCACTGCACTCCAGCCTGGGTGACAGAACAAGACCCTGCCTTGAAAAAAAAAAAAATTACTGTATGTGAAAATACATACGCAAATCTCCTGAGAATTAAAAATATGACCCTAGAATTGGATTTACACAACTAGAGCTACAAATGTTCTCCTTGTCCCTTCAGCAGCATCCCTTTAAATAACTCATTTACATGTACAACAGACACTACTTTAGGATTCCCATACCACGTGCTGGTACCAACATATGCTGTATGTGTCATACACTAATCCGAATATAAAGTTGGATAAGCAGGTCACTGGCAGGAAAAAAAATGAACCACATTGCCAGCAGATACCGCAAAATTCAAAAGACGAAAGAACATTTTATATTAACCCTTTCCTTCTTATAACACTATTTTCCCAACTTTTCTATTATGTACTTTTATATTATCAATTGTTCACGAATAGTTATTCAGTAGTACCCTTTTCTTTAGCCTTCTCCAACCCCTTGCTGGCTTCCAAAGCCATACACTACAATAAACCAAGGGGAAGACCAGAAAGCCTCAAGGTCCAAGCATCAAGAATATAATTCTGCTGGCCAGGCACAGTAGCTCATGCCTGTAATCCCAGCACTTTGGGAGGCCGAGATGGGCAGATCACTTGAGCCCAAGAGATCAGGAACCAGCCTGGGCAATATGGTGAAACCCCATCTCTACAAAAAATACACAAATTAGCCAGGTGTGATGGTACATATTTGTAGTTCCAGCTACCTGGGAGGCTGAGGCAAGAGGACCGCTGGAGAGGCGGAGGTTGCACTGAACCGAGATTGTGCCATTGCACTCCAGCCTGGGTGACAGAGTGAGACTCTGTCTCCAAAGAAAAAAAAGAATATAAATCTCTAATATGACTGTGTATGTGATTGAAGTTAGACTTTTTTTATTGGTCCTGGATCTAATTGTCTCCATTCCTACAGATAACTAAATTCAATTTATTTATTATTTTTATTATACAAGATTTTTGAGCATGGCATTCAAAGAGCTATCCAACATCAGTTACAAGCCTGCACCAATTATAACACTACTACTCACCATCCCCACACCTATCACTGCCATTTTCTGTCCATATCTTTGCTCGGGCTGTTACCTTGGCCTGCGAGGCCCCTCCCTACTTTGATGGCTATGACCATCTTAGTCATCAGAGGCCCAGTCCAGATCACCTCATGTAGGAAGCCAGGGCCGCCCTAGCAACCTAATCTTTCTCTTTTCTTCACTCTCATCATCATTTCCACCTCTTTACAACTCTCATGTACTTATGTTCTAATCACCTTCTGTCTTGTTTCCTAATTACAATGTCAACCCCCTGGGAGGGACACACAACACCTAATTGCATCCATTCACTTGTCCCTTTTTTTGTTCTGCCACTTCTCATACAATGCTCTACATTTGGTGAGGTGCAAATAAATGCTAAATTGAGAACGAAGAGTGTATTACTTCCTCTTTTATTCTTGTTATTCTATTATTATTCTATTTGTGCTTTCTGTACTTAAAATTCTTTGTTTCTCTATCAGTTCTCCCCGCATTCTATTTTTGAAGTCTATTAAAATGTGTGGGAAGGAACAAAAAAATTGATTCTTACTTGCAATCCCAATGAGAATCCCACTTTAAGCTCCCTGACTGCGACAGGGAGCTGGCAAATGCTGAAAAACAACTACATTCCTTAATAAGCTGCCAAAGGGAGAGCAGGCATCATTTGTAAACTGCCTTCTCAAAACTTGAATTTTAAAACACATATTCTGTAACCCCTCCAAAAACTTAAATTGAATTTATCACTCCTGGTTTAAATTTAGGAACAGATTTTTTTTTTTTTTTTTTTTTTGGTCAAATTCACAAGTTCCTTTGGATTCACCCTGAATGTCCTACTTAGAGGTGTACGTATCACTTCACTTCACTTCACTTCATAGCTTGAGAAAGTGAGGTTCAAAGAAAACCAGGGAAACAAAAGTATGGATAATCTGAAAATTATTTTTGCTGGAGCTG